AGCCAAACTGCATTCGTGCACCCATTGCGCAGTTTAGAGTTCTGGCCCTGGAAGCCTCAAAGTCGTCTCAAGCAATAGCCCCAACTTGAAAAAGGCGGTTGACGCTTCGAGCTAAGAATCTGCGCGGCGCTAGCGCGATGGCTACATTTTGAAACCCACCTGCCTTCAATATCTGTAACTGTTGGGAGCTTCTAAGACGAATGCTCCCTGAGATGAAACGAGAGCCACACATTGGAAACTGCACGCCTTCCATCGGTCACAGGACCCCGCCCGGTACCCAGCGTGGGGCGTGCGCCGCCGTGCTCGCCCCGTGGAACTCACAGACGGGGCCTCCGTGAGACTCGCGGCGGGCAGGCACGCGACCAGGGCGCTGCCCTCGAGACCGCCGCCCCCGCACTCGCGACGCGCCTGCTGGCCGCACACGGGCCGCGGCGCCGCTGGGGCAAGTGAGCGTGCGGCAGCCTCGCCTCCGCAGGAGGGGCAGCGTCCCTGGTGGGCGCCGACGGAGGGCAGGCGCACGAGCAGCTGGCGTCGCAGCGTGGCGCAGCCCTCCTCCGAGATCGGCGCCTTCCCAGGACGGACTCCCCGCGCGCCCGTTTGCGCCGTCGCGCACACCCCGGCGCACCTGCTGACAGATCGGCGGCGGCACTGGGGGCGCCGTGGCGGCCGCGCGGCCTCGCGCTCTTCTGTTCCGAGGCGCAGCGACGAAGCCGATCGCGCCCTGTCTGGCAGCACCCTCCGCCTAGGCTGGCCCGGATCCTGACCCTGGGCTCGCTATCCGCCAGCGCGCGCTCAACGAGGATCCATGGCGCGAGCCGGGCGTCGAACACGCCACGCAGCAGCGCTCCTGCCTGGCCACTCGCTGCGGCGCCCGCCGCGGGCGCGAGTGAAGCGGAGCTGGGCGGGGGCCGCGGGGCTCGGCACTCTACTGCGCCACGTCTGGCTCCGCCTCAGGATCGAACTGGCTCCGCCTCTGGCTCGAACGACGCTTCTGAGTTGCAACCTCCGATGTCCAATGGTAGCTGCTCGTTGACGAGCCCGATTACCGCGTTGACGGGCCCAGTCGAGCCCTCGGCGCCGATTGAGACCGATGGCGCCGCGGGGTCGAGAGGGAGGAATGGAGAGAGGGGGGGGAGGAGTGGAGGGGACGAAAAGGAGGGGAGGAAGGGGATGGGAGTGAGGCGGAGGGGGCAGGAGGAGGAAGGGAGGGAGTCGCTGGGAGGAGGGCGAGGGATGCCACTGCGGGGGGGGAGCGGGGGGGGGGGAAGAATGCGGAGGCACGCAGAGAGAGAGAGGGAGCCGCCAGGGAGGCGGGCCGGGGCGAGGGCGGGCCGAGGGGCGGGGAAGGGCCAGGGCAGGGCCAGCGCAGGGTCGCGGGGACAGGGCGCGCACGAGCTCCTCGGGCGAGACGCCAGATCGGCCCGCCTCGGGACGCGGGCCCGACGCCTGCCCTCCTCCTCCTCCTCCTCCCTCCTTCACTCCCCTCCTCCTCCCCTCCTCCTCCTCCTCCTCCTCCTCCTCCTCCTCCTCCTCCTCCTCCTCCTCCTCCTCCTCCTCCTCCTCCTGAGCCGGGCACGTCTTGAAGCGGTGCGTGAAGAACTCGTTGGAGAGGGCGGCGGGCCTGGCGGGCGGGAGCGGCGGCGAGGCGCGGAGGGCAGGCCCGCCCTGCTCTGCGGGGGGGAGATGTCGCACGAGGGGCTGGGAGGAGGAGGAGGGGATTGGAGGGGAAGGAGGGTCGTGCTATTCCGCGCACGTAGGAGCCCACGTTTTCATTGCGCACTCGCGACAAAGCCCATGACCGGCCCCGCCCCCGCCCCGCTCCCCCCCCCCTGGTCACGTCACGATTCGCGATGGCGCCGTCTGGGAACTAGCCATTCCCAAACATTCCGGACGGCGCCGGCGCGAATCGTGACGTCACCCGCCCCCTTCCACCCTCCCCCCCCCCGTCACGCCTGGCATCCCCGGGAGATCGAAAACTGCCTCCAGTTGGCGAGATGAGCTACACCCATGAAGGATGATAAGGATGAAGAGGAGGAGGATGAGGAGGAGGAAGAGAAGGAGGAGGAGGAGGAGGAGGAGGAGGAGGAGGAGGAGGAGCGCAGATACGCCGCCGCCGGAGAGCATGCAGCCTGCCGCCAGAGGGCAGGGGGGGGGAAACGTGGGAGGGAGGGGAGGAGGAGGGAGGGACGGAGGGAGGGAGGGAGAGGAGGAGGAGGAGGAGGAGGAGGAGGCTCAGGGGACGAGAAGAGGGACGGGGTGGGGTGGGTGGGCGGGCGCTGCACAGAGAAACAAAAACCCCACACTCGGGGAGTGGGAAACGGACTCGGTGTTGCGGTCTGCGGGCTGCCGACTGCGGCGTGGACACATGGAGACTGACGAGGGCGAGGCAAGCTGTCGCCGCGCTGCAATCACTTTCCAAAGGGGGGCAGAAAGGGAAAGCACATAACTTTGGGCGTACGGTAAACACGAAAGCGAAGGAAAAGTAGCAGAAGCACACGAGCAGCAGGAGGAGCAGCAACATGAGCGGCAGGACGGGCAGAAGTAAGTAAACGGATGATGATGTGCTCGCCGAAATAATTCGTCTAAGTTCCCTGCCTCCTCGCCATCATATTTTTCATGAGTAATCACCACCACCCCATCATCATTACCGTCATAACACTATTCCGAATCCTCATCGCACGTAATCACCATCACCATCACCATGCTCATCGTCAGCATCACCATCGTCAGAGTAACAACCTCATCATCATCCTCGAAAATATCAGCACCATCAGACCTGTCATCATAGTATATCAGTCTCGTCGTCATCGTCATCATCGTCTTGCCGCCGTGGTTGCCTCCACAGACGCCGCCCTCTCAGCCGCGGCGAAGCCCTCCCCCAACGCCGCCTCCTCCTCCTCCTGCTCCTCCTCCTACGTCGCCTCCTTCGCCTCCTCCTCCTCCTCATCCTCGTCCTCCTCCTCCTCCTGCTCCTCCTCCGTCCTGCTGCCCTCCCGCACGGCGCACGGGCGAGGAGTGGTGGGTGCCTCTGGTCCTCTTCTTCCAGCGTCAGCAGCGGAAGCCTCCCCTGACCCTGCACCCTACTCCAGCGAAGCTGCCGCCCAAGACATCCGACACCTCGAGCCAATCGGGCAATGAACAAAAAACGCGCACTCAACTCGATATCGGGGCAATCGTCATGATCCAGAGGTGCACGAAGCTACACACACATACACACACACGCGTGTCTACGTAGATTCGTCTTCGAAAATTCTTACATCGAAAAACCGTGTGTGACCCCCGCCCATAGTAAATTCGGCCCTGGGCGCTCACATCGGGAAGAAATGATTTATTTTCAGTTCCGAAAGCACCTTCAGGCCATCCCAAACCGCCAAACCGGGCCCAGGATCGCTTCCCAGACGGTCCCGCGGAGCACCGACACGGCCCAACACCGCTCCAGAACGCCCATGATGGTCTCAGGACGGCCCACAAGGCCTCCAAGACGCCCCACGAGAGTTCGAAGATGGCGTCCAAGAGGGCCCCAGTCGCCAAAATTCAAAAATTGTGTGTTCGATCGATTTGAGCGTATTGCTTTGTCGAGCTTCCGACCGCGCAACACTGCCCAAGAGGCCCCAAAGATCGCCCGATGACGGCCCAAGTGGGTGTCAAGAGGGCCCCAAGACAGCCCAAGCGGCCCCCAAAACGGCCGAAGAGAGCCACAAGACAACCCAAGGAGCCCCGCAATACGGCCCAAGAGGACCCCAAGAAGGACAACCCGAACTGACATTTCGATTTTTCCGATCCAGCATGGGCCTAGAGACCGCCGAAGGGCCTCCAAGACGCCCCCAGAGGCCCCCCAAAGCCCCCCTTGAGGTCCCCAAGGCCCCTAAGGCATCTTCAAAAGACGCCGCGGACAAGCCCCAGAAATGCTTCAATGTTCTGATCCCGGAGGCCCCCAAGAGACCCCAAGAAGTCTACCATGGAGGCCTGAGGTGGGTCCTGAGAGAGAGGGATACCGGGAGTTTTTCCTGTGGGCGTATGAGGACGCGTACTCATATCCTGGACCACCAGAGGTGGCCATCTAAGACAAAGTGGTTATGCCAGGCACAAGCGGGAGATAGGAAAAAGAGGGGTAGGTAGGAAACCACAACGGGACTACTTTCAGCGGGCCTGACATCGCCTGAACGGCGGAGACAGCCACCCCAGTCTGCTCGAACCCCTCTCCGTCCTGGTCCCTGCTCAAAATCCTGGAGGCCTGGCGCGACGCGCGGCGCGACGGGGACTTCAAATCATTGTTGAGAGCCCGTTCCGACATGTGACCGTCTACTTCGATCAGTACCATGGCGCCCTTTGGCCAGCATATCTAGAAGAGCGAGGTTGCCGCGAACTGGATCCGCTTTGGTCAGAGCGTCGGCCGCCATGCGACCATGAGAGGCCCACCGCACCTGACTACCGAGGGCAGACGTACTATCTCGAACCACGGCCAATTCAATGGCGCGTCGTCGACCCGCTCGGGAACATGCACTGTTCTTAGAGAGCGTATCCAAGAAGCTCTTAGCATTAACCTCCGAAATGATGTCAACTCCCTCTGAGAGGGTACAATGCTTGGTTAAGGCGATTGACAAAAGGGGCGCTGAGGACGGGCGCCGGTCTGGGCGCTGTACGTCATGGCGCATAAGGTCACGGCACACGATGGAAGCCACTGAGCCCCAGCCAGAGCGGCGGAGAGACTGACATGTTCAGCGGCCCCCGTTGACGCAACCACTCGCTTGAGACGGGTCAATCTCCAACGTAACAGAGAAACCCGAACACGACGGTTGCTTCCAATAGCTAAACCAGCGGCGAGAACTAACCAGCCGCCCTGAGCTCCAATCCTTCGAGCCGAGCCCGGGCCCCGGGCGTCCGAGATGGCAACGTTAGCGCAGATGGGCCGAGGGGCCAAATCGTGATTTTCTGGCTCGCTGGCCTCTTAAGATGCTTCACGTTTTTGATGCACACCGTCGCACCATCGCGTCGGCAACAGTTGGAGATGGGAGAGCAGCGCTCTGAAGCGAGGACCCGGCCGCCACGCCTCGGCGACACTCTCGGCCTAACCACTAGATTTGGGCAACCATGGCCCAGTGCTGCTTCACCTCGTCTGGTGGCAAAAGGGAGTCGGGATCCGCTCGTCGCCCCATAGCAAGTCTCATGGCCGTAAGTTACTGTAACACGTACTTCTCTTGATCGACTAAGATCGTACCCTCGATCTGCCTGAAGTGTCGACCCGCCACATCCGATTCTCTCAACTTCCACTTTCCGAACCTGAATCGACCCTGAAGACGCTCGCGAAGCCCCTCGCGCCCGCGAGGGTGGGATGGCACAATAGGGTCGTCGACCTCGATCAAAACTAGCGACCTCAACTCACCCTGGGAAGAACGCTTGACCCAGAGGCAAGGTTCCAACGGAGATTTCTCAAAACCGTCGTCCGCGAGCCCTCGGGCAATAGTACGGTGCCGGAGACGGGGGGCGTCATTCAGACCGCACACTGGAGCCATAAGCTCGATGAGCTAGCTCCCCAGGAGCGAGACTCAAACCCTGGGAGATCGACCCCTTCGGCCTGGACAGCCGATCCGACTGACAGAAGGCGTTCCTGGCATCCACAACCGCCAAATCCCACCCGAGGGAGGACATCGCCCGCGCCGCGAGCATGGTACTTTCTAGCTGAGACGTCGGAGCGCATGCGTGCAACGCGTCGCCATCCGGGTCGTGGTGACCCTGCGCGCGCCAGCGAGACTTGTCGATGGCCTGGGCGCCGATCCCTCCCCGCGGCTTGAACTCCCCAAACATCCTGGGCCCCAGAATCCTGTCCAGAGAGCGCCTCCGGATAAGAAGCCTCGGCCGCGGGCAGGACTCTGACTGCTCCTGAGTCTGGGATCGCCTGCCATTCTGCGGCGTCGCAAAAAAAAAAAAAAAAAAAAAAAAAAAAAACGCTCTCGCTCAGCGCGCGAGAGATGCTTGAGGGTGACTTCAGCCCCGCGGCGACTCGGCAGAACGGACCCCGATGTCCCCCCTCCAGTCGCGAAGCTACCCACTCCCCCTCGAGTCCAGAATTTGCAATGCCAGCCGCGCCGAAAGCACAGCTCTTCCCAGGGGTCCTCGTCCAGCTCCTCCTCTCCCTCGAGAGACTGAAAACCCCAGGGGCCACGGTGGCGCTCATCGGGCGGCAAAGACTCTAGCCCCGCAGCGCGAATGGCCCTCTCGGCTTCGCTGGAGACCGCAGAGCGGACATGCCCCAAAATCGGAGATTTATCTCGGCGGGGCGATCCCGGGCCTGATCGCTCCCCCGAGCCATTGCAAGCGACGCCGCCAGCTGCGGGACCTGAGTCGCCGGCGGCGGACTCTCCCTCTCCGCCACGTCGAATGCTGACGGGCGCGTCGTCGAGCGGGCGCTGGCGGAGTTATACTCTCCCAGGGGGCGATATTTGCGCGCTCCTTTTCTTTTTCTTTCTCTCTCTCTCTCTCTCTCTCTCTCTCTCTCTCTCTCTTTCTCTCTCTCTCTCTCTCTCTGTCTCTCTGTCTCTCTGTCTCTCTGTCTCTCTGTCTCTCTGTCTCTCTGTCTCTCTGTCTCTCTGTCTCTCTGTCTCTCTGTCTCTCTGTCTCTCTCTCTCTCTCTCTCTCTCTCTCTCTGTCTCTCTGTCTCTCTGTCTCTCTGTCTCTCTCTCTCTCTCTCTCTCTCTCTCTCTTCCTCGACGGCGGCGCGGAAGCGCCCCGGCGCGAGCCGCGGCTGGATCTCGACGGGAGTGAGACTAGGACGGTGAGATTGGTGGCCCTCCAAAGGCCCATCCGAGACACTCCTCGCCCCCGAAGGCGCGGGCCCCGCATCCGACCTGAGACCGCCCCTGGAATGCGGCGCCGCGCCCTGCGACGGGGGGGCAACGTCGCTGGGAGAGATCCGAGTGGGAGTGGAGGACACATGGATGGACTGAGCTGGGATGGGCGCCGGCCCCTCCCCCAGCTGGTCGAATGGCTGGGGAATGTCTGAGAGGCCGCCAGCCCCCTCGGGAACGACGGCCTTGGGAGGTGCTGGAATGGCCAGATCCCCGGTCTCCTCGGGGGCCCCCTCGCCCCGCGCGCCCCCGGGGGAGGGGGCGCCTCGGCCTCGACGTCGACCGCCCCAGCTCGGCGACCAGGAGCCTGCAAGTCCCGACGCAGCTTAGAGAGGGCTGGCGAAGCAAGAAGCTCGGTTCCCCGGGGGCCCCCCTCGAGCAGCCCATCGGATCTGCTCCTGGCCGCGCTGGGGCCAGCGAGACCGCGTCGCATCCCAGACAATGGTTCCATGTTGAAACACGACAGCTCCGGGGCCCGTCCAACGATTTCGGCCGATCGAGCCGTCTCGGAACCCAACGCGCGTCCGCGCGTAAACCCGCGCCCCCGGAGGGGGGACCTTGTCTCGATGCTTCCGAGATTCCGATGCGGCCACTAACTTGTCTCGAGCACCCATCCACATTCCGGCCTTCTGAGCCTTCTCGCGCAACGCGCGCTCCCTGGCGAAAGCTCCGGCGGACGAATCAGCATCAGCAGACCCTCTGATAACGTCTCCGACCCCGACAGTGTCAAGAGCCTCGTCTGACAGCGGCGATCGAGGGGGCCGCGGATTCTCCCCGACAGCCATCCAGTGCGGACTGAAGCCCCCTCTGCGCGCATAGCGGTTCTCCGCGCTAACCACCTCGCAAAGAATAAATTTGAATTCGTCCTGGCCCAAACATCCGCCCCCGAAGCCGCCCAGGTCAGGGCGGCCTTCACAAGGCCCCCATGTCGCTCACACCTGCCGTTTTGTCGGGGTGACTCAGCACCGCAGAGGTGCTGATATATTCCCGGACGTTCAAGTCCTCTGGAAAAAAGCTCCCTCGGATCCCCCTCCTCCGTCTGAACCGATGGTCCCGGGCACGCCGAGTGGTCTGACCGACTGTCGCAGAAGGGCCGCCCACACTTCGGCAGTCGTAACTGTTTTATATAAGAAAATCGCGCATATCTGATAGTTTGATCCGTGATCCATCAAGTTCAGAACCAGATGGAGGATATCCAGAGCCTGGACGTAAACCAA